GGCAATGTCCATCAAACGTACCCTGTCTTCTTCTCTCCTGTACGTCTGCCACCTTTTGCGTATTTGGTTTTTGTTTGTACGACTTTAATGAAATCTTGAGTTATTTGTTCTAGTTGTTGTGGATTTGTAATGTTGTTGTTGATTGTTAACGTTTGTTGTATTTTTTGTCTGTATTTGTTCCAGTCTGTCGTCTTATAGTCGTAGTATTGTTTTTGTTGTCTGTTGATTGTTTGTCTTGTTCTGATTTCCAAGCACACTGGATCGTGGTCAGAATTCATTGTGCTTATCGTTCTGATGTTTTGAACGTCTGGTATATTTTTAGTGATTGCAATGTCCAGTGTGCTAGGGGTACTGCCATTAAATGAGGTGCATGTCGGTTCGTTCGTATAGTGTATAATAAATAAGCTCGTTGTCTTCGGCGTAATCTCTCAGTAAATTGCCTGCGGGGTTGGCGTGAGTGCAGTTCGCGTCCCACTCCGGGTGTTTACAATTTAAATCCCCAGCCAGAAAAACTCTATTCCCCTTTGACATGAGTGTATGCATGTCAGCATTTGGGATTTTCTGAGCAGGGGGGTTGTACACTCCTATAAAGATTAAATTACAGCATTTAACTATGGCGTGTTCTATGTGAGGTGAGATGTTTAGTTTTTGCAAGTTCGCGAATTCTAATGTGTTTTTGACTAGTATTGCGACCCCTCCCGCTGCCTTTTGTCGTATGTTATGTCTGTCTTGTTCCTGTCTGTCCTCTCTAATGATATAGTCTCTGATTCTAATTTTGTCTGTTTGTTTTAGGTGTGTTTCCGTTAGCATTATGATATCGAACTTATGCTTGTGGATGAAATTTGTTACTAAACCGCGTTTATTTAACAACCCATTCACATTGTAAAAACAGATTCTGAGTCTGTCTTTGTATGTAGGGTTGAATTTAGTTTTTAAAGTTGTATGTGTTAAGGTTTTTTACAAAATTGTTATATATTATGAATATGTCACGTTCGTCTCTACATTGTCTGATGGAATTATTGAGGTCCCGAACGGCTCGGGTGAGTTCTGATATATTTACCAAGCTATTCAGTGTGTTGAACTCGTCATTGAGGGCGAACATATCGTCCATGGTTCCCTGCTCCGTCGCGTTTGCGGTCTGCCTGGTCGGTTGGGTTCTCGGGGGTTGTTGGTTGTTTTGCTGTGGTCTTCTGGACGGTAACGGAGGGAATTTTTCTTGAGCATGCCTGTTAGCGACAGGGGGTTGTTTCTTCTCCCAGGCATTCCCTTCTGGGAGTGGCGCCTGCACGTATCTTCTCGGCTGCTGTTTACTTCTTCGTTCTTCCATTCTAGCTACTCTGTCTAGGTATGCAGAGCATTTTGAGTAGTTGGCTGGGTGTTCTCCCAAACAATTAATGCAGGGGGCGGGGGTGTCGCGAGTTTTAATACAGGTCCTGGTGTGATGGTTTTCTGCACATTTCAGGCACTTTGGGGGTCGTCCGAAGTTGGCAGTGGCATGCCCCCACGCCTGGCAATTATGGCATTGAATAATTAGTTTGGTGGATTTTCTTAGTTCCCAAACTATTCTTATATGTTCCACTACCCTCACGCTTTTGTTTAAAAAATCCAGAGTTATTGCCGGGTCTGTCACAATTAGGAAGAGAGGTCTATTTTTGGTTGACATTTTGTAGATCTCTCTTATTTTGATGTCGTATGATAACATTAGGTCCTCTTCTATTTGCTCGGGGGTGGTACCAGACGTTAGCCCTCTTAACACGAAGGCGTGGGATTTCTCCGCTCTGCTCGTGTGGTACGATATTTTGGACTCTTTAATGCTATCCAGGAGTTTCTTATAATCATTTTGTTCCTCAACATAGATAATGGTGGAGTTGTTGGTGTATTTAATGGTATACTTGCCCTTTACTATGTTTTGGAGGTCTCTTTTTAGGGAATTATGGTCGTCCGTTCTCCCTTCTACCACTATTGGGGGCATAGAGGATTTTTTGTTTGTACTGTTTGGGGTTTCTGTTGCTTTACCTTTGTTAATTCTCGTAGTATTGCTTATTTTCGGTTTTCTACTTGCTGAGGGTGAAGACGTCTTTGAGCTTTCACATTAATATATGGATTTGGAAAGACGTCTTTCTAAACATTGCAACAGATGTGAAGAACCTAGAGGTCTCACCTTTGACAGCAAGTTAACATAGAACTCACATTTATAAAACAGAATCAAAAGAGCATACATTGCTTATGAACAATGCCACCGACCCGTAAAGGCACACCTGGGGTTTCTCCCTCAAGAGTCCTCAAATTGCCATCATAAGACCTATGCTAACATACGGTGCAGTTGTCTGGGTACCGAAAACCCAAAAATTGACAGCTATTCGCAAACTAGAACAAATACAAAAAGAACAACATAACAGGAGTCATAAAACCCACACCAACCGGAGCCATTGATGTCATTCTTAGTCTCACTCCTCTTGATATTTACATCAAGGAGGTTGCTTTGATGGCAATAACACGCCTTTGCACGGTTGGAGGTGCCTATCATCTTAGGAGAATACACAATAAGCCTAGTGGGGCCTAAGTGCCGTGGGGTAACCCACCCTTTACAAGTTACAGATACAGAGGTAAAGTTTTTGGTCCGTGTTTGATTTTGATGATTTTACCATTATCAAAATTTTAAATAATTTAAGATATAAAAGCATTAAATTATACTACTATGTAAATATGAGAACAAAAGTTTAGTCTTGGTTATATAACTATGTTTACACAGCAATAAAGCTCATAATTAAAGTTATTTCAGAAACAAAAACTGGTGTATAAATGAAGAATGTCACAGGAAAACAGCAAAATCAGTTAAGTTCAGTATACGACGTGCGTGAAGAAGAACAAGAACAGAAATAAAGTTTTTCACATAATTTTATCCAGTAAATGTTACACAAAATGGCTACTAACTTATTTTCCTGCTTTAAGTGTATTTTGGTATCGAAACTTAAAATTCAATTTACAGAGAATTAACTTTTTATTACCTTCATCGTTTTTGATTTTGACCCTTCAATTTTACTTGAAATTTGAAAGAAACAACCAAACCGTTGGTCGTCCTTATCTCAGATCGTTAGATGGTTTCCAAAGCATTGTTCTTGCTACCGAAAAACTGGAGCTGCGCGAAGGAACTGAAGAAATTCAAGGGAATATTACGACGCGCTATCGTTGACTCTTAAGGGTTCATTCATAAGGAGGTAAATAATTATAGTCAAAGTATTATTATTATTCAATTTTGATTATGTGTTTTTATATGGTAATGTCTGCTCGTGAAGACTATGACTTAATAATTAAATACAGATGAACCCTTGAAGAAGTATTGCCGGTTTTTTACGTAATTTATTTTTAAATATTCTAATAAAGACGATAATAATATTCTTGCATAATAGGTAAAAACATGGCACTATAAATTATGTACGTTAAAATTTGTTTAACTGTTTTTAGTGTTAGTGGATTTCTAAATAAGTTGTACAATGTTTTATATAATTTACTAACTGCGACATTTAAGTGTATTGTATTTACTATTTTTTAACAATTTCTATACATTAGTAAAGTTAAATTTGAAGAAAAACATTTTGCCTCCTCTTGACTACCAATAAAGCAAATATGACTGGATTTGAGGTGAATAAAATCTTAAAACCTTCTCACGGTGTGACCTTGCAACATTAGCGAGAACCTGTTTTATATTTTTCTTTTTGATTATTACTATTCTTCGCATTACTCAGTCAGGAATGCCAAATTCAGTGGCGTTCGATTTGTAAAAGGATCATGTTCTGTGATCAGTAACAAGAAGTGTTATAGCCTGGTAGGTATAATATGCTTACATTAGAAGAATTGGGTTAAAAAAATTAACATATTAACACTGACCAAAACAAAACAAATTTGGAAAAAGCAGGCATTAAAAGATAAACGCTCGAAATAAATACCTCCTATAAATCAATTGTAGTTATGCAGTTTAATACAATGTGATGTATTGATCATACACAAACGAATTTTTTATAATTGAACCTTGATCAATCCTGCCCGTGCGTTGAGGTAACTTCTATATTTATTAACATAGCCTAAGATTTCATTAAAATTCCGCCTCATCATCTAATGCATAATCTTAGCCGCCGGCAATGTCGTTCAGAGCATTTTTTAACTACCTATTATACCACTTGAATCATATACAGTGACCGTTCAAAAACTATCGGCGGAGATAGAAAAAATGAAACAAATGAAAATATCAAAAGCCATTTTATTTTGACCCTCAATTTTTTAACAAAAGATCCTTACATAAAAAATTGTATAAAATCACTACTTGTATACAATATCATAAAATCATATATATATTAAACTAACATCTTCCTTACATCTAGTTTATTTTTGAAAATATACATATTTGGTAAATAAACTGGTACGTATAAATAGATTAACAATTATATAAACATATAGACGAGTATAATTTTAAAAATAATTAATTAAAAAGAAATAAGTAATCATCAATAAAATGATTGAAAGAAATTTGATTTTTTTTTAAGTAAAACAACAAAAATCACATTAAAAATAAAATCAGTTATAGATTTTTAAGCTGCTTCTAATTATTTCTTAAAATGATATGGCAAATATTGTTTTATTCACATATATCACATGTTGATTAAAGAATTACCAGTTGTCAGGAAACATTCAATTATAGACCCCTATAAACATACAAAATATTCAAAATAACTATTTTATATTAATAACCAATTAGGATTATTTTAAATAAATCACAAAAGGTATAAATTATACAGTAAGATTCAGAAAAGGTCACCATTAATAAATATTGCATTTAATATTAATTCTATTAAATCTATCTATAAGTAAAACTTTATTAGTATAGAAAAGGTTTAGTAGAAGATTCTAAAATAAAAAATTGGTGAACTTCGTTGTTATTGCTTTTTTTAATATAGTAATTCTAAATGTCAGATTATATTATGCACTTAGATGTTACATTATTGTCTTTTATCAAGTCTCCTCAAAATGGTTTGTACTATATTAGTCTTATTTAAACTACTGCATAATTTAAATCTTTTATCAAAATAAAAGTGCTTTTTAACAAATCTGATCATGACAATCAGTTTTATGGCACAATAGTAACAAAAAAATAACATCTAGTTAGCAAGTCGTAGACAAAATAACATACTTAGCCATTGAGCCACACATCATAAAATCATTGATTTGATAAATATATATGGCACTACATTGACAAAGTGTCTCAGTTATCACACTATTTTTGTACGCATGTAAAATGAAGTTCAGATGGGTTTATTCTGTTTAACAAGACCACGTTTTAAAAATAAACGGATGCTAATGCTGAACATTTCATTTAAAAGAAACTCCACTGGAATAATAAAAGGAGGAAATTAAGTTTTCGAATCAATGAGAAAATATGTGGTGTTGACATCTCAGACTTGGTAACCAGCGATTTTTAAAAATAATATAAATAAAATTATTTTGTATGTTTCATATAGGTGATGAATTTAAAAAAATCTTTGGTCGAGAAAAACTTGCTTAAAATTATTCTCGAATCCTCAACATAATTGAAGTTATTCCAAATAAATTTAAGTAATTCGATTAAAATGGCAGTCTAAATACTCAAAAAAAATAAGATGTTAATTACAGCTTTAAAAATGCAAAGTATTGTGTTAAAGTCTTCTTTTGAATACAGAGCTCTATTTATGAGTTACCTACATACAAATTATTGAGCAATTCACACATACAAAATTGTACATACTATACACACACTTTTTTTCGTCTTTCTTTTTGAACCTAATCACCATGAATATTTTAAATTAAAAGAAATAGAAAGGCTGTATGTAGTAGTTGGGAAAACTAGTTTTATAAAATATTATTAAAGTAGTTGTATCATTATGTAAATTGGTGAACTCATAAATCTGTATGTAGCTGAAATTATTTATACCCAAAATTTGCTCGTTTTAAATTGACAGACTCACAGAGCATTTTTAATTAATTCTGTATATATTTTGTTCATTAACACTCTGTAGTCGAGGGTTTTTAATTATAAATCGACAGTATCTGAACAAGACGAAGGGAGATGTCCATATCACGACTGCAGAGTCAAAAAAATAGAAGAAATTTCCATACTACATATGAAGAAAACCCACTTTCATATAGAATGGAAATTTCAGAAATTGTTAGATCCTACAACAGGATAGAAATGACAACTGAGGACTGTCATCTAAGAAACCACATAAGAAGGATTTAGGTCTGCAACTTCTGCAGCTTGGAAGACAAATCAGCAGAGAACATGTAACTGCTTTGCTCCATAAATAATTAGGATCCAGACATGCATCCAGTTGGAGCCAACCTTAGATTAAACACACACCGGTGTATGTTACATTTGTGGTCTCTTTAATCTAAGGAGCCAATTTGAAGTTAAATAAGTATCACCTAACTCAACTATGGGTGTGGAAGGAAATGTCCCACTCATATGCAACCTAACCCAACTTCTCATAAACGATTATTTTAGAGCCCCAACGTCTCCTTACCGTCGTTTTATATTAAACCACCCTACATAATTGCCTGAATGAAACAATATCTGCAAAAATTGTATCAACAATTCACGTCTTACAAAATGATTATGTTCATTTGATAAAATTATGATTCTTATAAAATTTTCAGATATATTTTACAGACCTACGGATCGTTAAAACCAATACTAACTGCCCACCAGCTCGATTCTTCGATATTTTTTTCTCCTATTAGACACGGAGTCCTTGAACAGCACAGGATCTAACCTCAAATTCGATCTTAATAGTGGCATGTAGCCGAACACCGCAGCGAAAGTGTTTAAGCAAGTTTGTCGTTGAATAAAGTGATCTGGGTCATTCCAAGGCGACCAGCTACCAGCACTGGGTTGTTCCTTGTACTGTTTTCTTTGTGTCACTTTTATAGGAGGTCTTCTAGTAACGTGGCTAACTAAAAAGTTCATCAGTATGTCCTCGCAATTCTGACTCTGATCAACCGTCTTGTGCAACAGTGGACTGAGCCACTCTGTATACAGATAATTGTAGTAGCGATGATAAAAGGCAGCTCCTGTTAGTACGATAGAGTAGTCATTGGTCCACTTCGAAGTGTATCCCCAAGTTGACTTTGAATCATCCCAATAATGTGACCGTCCTGGATACCCAACAATCCTATCAGGGAATTGTTTCCATACAATGAAAGCAAAATCAATTTCTTCTGTAGTTAAAACAGTATCCTCATCTAAGGACAGTATTGCTTCCGTTTCTATTTCCTTATGAGTGAAAAATCTCTGTGAAATACTGGATTTAGCTTCGTTTCCTATATTCGAGTTACCACTGGGCTGAATAATATGTAGAGGAACGTGCAAAGGCAAAAGAGGCCATCTGTTTCTGTTTGCCGGCCGTTTTTCATTAGACCAGACTATTAAAATCTTCGCAATATATTTACTTTTTCCCACGTTGTTGACCAATCTGTAAAGCGCAGAATTGGCAACTAAAGGCACGCCTAATTGACAGTAGATCACTGCCGTGTAGCCCGTTCCTTCGTCTTTTTCAATGTGAAATGGAAAATCTTCGGAGTAATCTGAAAACGTCGTCAAAGTTACTAGAGCTCCTGGAAAAGTGTTCCAAGCTTTTCCATCTCTAACAGGCTGTTTCGGAAGCCTTTCGCGGATTATTTCTAAAGTTGTATACACGATTTTTTCTATCGATGAGAAGTATCGATCGTAGAGCACCTGCGTTTGCTGGCGGAGCTGCAGGATTTTCCTAGGAGACAAGGACCTTATTATGTGAGGTACCTGTAAAAATAGATTTGATAATTAATCAGTTGTGTTATAAATCACACATCCAAGCAGACGAACTGTACACCACATTAACAAAAATACCACGAACATTTGATTGATACTTTTTTAACAACTTTAGTCAAATTCAATGGGGAATTCTCCTATAAAAAGAATATATGCATACGTTAAAGGTGTATTTAAAAACAATGATTGTTTCAAATGATCATATAATTTATGCAATATAAGTAGTTCAAAACATTCTACAGCTATCCAGCTAAACAGTCAACATAACCTTGTACATATGAAAACAAAACAAAGTTCTGACAAACTACCACATATTTAGCATTGTATTATGATGGAAACTGATTATAGTAAAGCTCAAAATTTGCCTTATTTAGAGCCCCTGTAGAAATTCAGTCACTAAGTGACCCAATTGAGTTCCGCAAATAACGTATAATTTTGACTTAAAGTAATAACTTTCACAACGTCTGGCAACATCGCATTACTGATTTGTATTCGCTGTTGCCAGCCCATTATTTAAACTGCTGAGTACAATTATATGGTGTTTTGCCTGAGAAATACGTAAGAAAAACAGATTGTTTTAATTTTTTCGAGAAAACGTATGTTCTTAATTACTAACTGTTTTAAAGAGAAAATACCTATTGACCCGAACCGTCTTCTTAATAGTCATTTTGTTTGATTTGACCCTCAGCCAAAAACAGATTGCCGACTCCTTACAGCATATTTCATTACCTACATGCAAATGAATTTTTATTTGGCCAAAACTCAACAACCACTCGGTATAAAAATGTTAAATATGGCAGATGATTTTCCTTGATATAGCAAAATTAATGCCATAGAAGCCATAATTAAAATCCAGTTCCAACTTAACAACATTTGTCAATTTCTTTCGGCTTTAAAAAAAAACACCCTGTACAATAAAATTATTTCAAAAAGGCAGAAAAATAATATTTTGATTGGGTTTTTTAAATTTGTAGATGTTTTAGAGATATTAATTTTGTTAAAAACCATGTAGAAGTTCTTCACATTGCTAGCCCTGATTTTTAAAAAAACATTACATGTAGCCTATTGATAAGGGTTTGGAAATTGTAACTTCAAACAATTTCTTTAAAAATATTTGGGCCCTTTATCCCTTAAGCCTGTTCATGTAAAAACATATGGGCCCTTTACCCCTAAAGTCGGTTCATGTAAAAATATTTGGTCTCTCTACTCCTTAAGCCAGTCCATGTAAAAATATTTAGTCCCTTAGTCTCTTAAACATGAACATATAAAAATCAACCCCTTAAGCCTGAACATATAAAAATATTTGGACTCCTTACCTCTTAAGCCAGCCCATACAAAAATAAATCATTATTTTCCTTCTTATGCTGGTCCATGTAATATTTGACCCATTTGTACCAAAGCCTGTCAATGTTAAAATAGATGGTCTCTTTATCCCTTAAGCATGTCCATATCAAAATATTTGGTACCTATATTTACCCCTTAAGCTTGATTGTATAAATATATTTGATATCTTTACCCCTTAATCCTGCCCATGTAAGAATAATATTTGTGCTCTTTGCCTTTTTAATCCCAATATCAAATTCAGATAGAGTTCCGTTCTGGATTTCATTAAAGGTTGTGCAAAAATCATCGCTATTTCACCATCCTATATATTATTTGCGCAAGGCCCACATTTATTTCATCTTAAAAGTATTATTTTCACTTATCACTTTCACTGAAGTGCATAAAATCATGTTTCATAATAAATGCACTGCATTTTAAAAACATTGATATTTAATAAAGCACTAGTTGAACTGCCAGATGATTGTTATTCCCAGTCTCCTTATAGATTTAATTTAATATTTGTTTTCTCTAATAAAACGGTCGCTCTTAAATTTTGTGACATTGATTTTCAGAAATCTATTATCTTTACATCTTGATCTCATTTGAATTTTAAATTATTTTCCCCAATGAAAAATTTGGTTAGTTTTAGAAGATTGTTTCTACGTATTCTGTACTTATTGAAAGTTCATTGCGATGTCGCAACCGGAACTTTTTAATTTTGTCCCCAAGATAATACGCCAACTAGCAAAATTCTTTCCATTTTCTATTTTCTCTCCATCTATAAATAAATACACCCATGTCTTGTTTAGTATTTGTTAAATATTTTTGTTGTTTTTAATATGTACGTCTGATCCAATTAAATATACTCGTAAGGCAGAAAATAATGAGTTAAATAAGAAATATTTTGCAATGGAACCCACTGATACAGCAATAACAAAATAATCATTACTACATTTTCTCTTTTGTCAGGAGTTATATTGTTCCATTTTCCATCCACGTCTCACAAACATTTTTTTTATTAAATGGATCTGTAAATCTATTTTTACGAAAACAATACGATTTTAATTTCAATAGACTTGTTGAGTTTAAAAACCGCATTTATAAAATACTAGGATTTTTTATTATTAAGTTGGCAGTGACAATTGAAAATAATATTCAACTTCCTACACAAAATACATCAAATCAAATGGCACAGTGCGCTTATTAGAATACATATTAAAATTTCTGGAAATAATATAGAACCACAAATTTCCCAGAAAATCTAAAAATTTCAGTAATGTAGAATATTTTAAATGTGGAAATGTAAAATGAATCATTTATGTTGATTTAAACATAAAATGCCAGAAATGTTTTGCAATACCTAATTCGTCATGAATCCAGTACATCATAAATATGTGTTTTCAATATAAATCAATATAAAATAACACAATATTTTATAATAAAGAGTGGTCCACAAAAAATGTTTCTAAAGTAGCCCATGACTGACAACCACAGAGATACGAGGCATGTCCGTGATAACTACGCACGGCTATGAATTAAATACAAACTTACACTTAAAAAGAAGAATTGTAAGCTCCGACATACGTGAATTTCTCCAAGATCTATTTTAGATTTTTTATGGATCACTATTTATTTATGTAGCACTTACAGAATGAAAATTTCCAAAAAGTACAGTATATCTTGCCTAACACAAACAATTGTAGGAGTTAAAAACAATATGAAATAAATTAAAAAATATATATAAAATATTAAAAAAAGGAAGAATAACAGAACACCGCGGGACGATACGAGTAAAACTTCATTCAGGAGTTGCAAGTTCCTTTTCAGCGCTAAAATATTACAATTAAATATATCACAGTCCGAGTAAAATTTGTTATAGTTCTTGCATAAGCGATCAATAAATGCAATTTATCCGTAATTGGTTCTGTCTATTTACATTCAAAAGAATTGTGTGCCGAGTCCGTCAGGCAGGAACCAATAGTTGAACTCTCTCAAGCAGTGACCAGCACTTGATGTAACCACCTATTAATTTAGCCAGGAATAGAAGTAAAGCCTGTTTTCTTCTGAATTCCAGGCTGTGCATGCCGCAAAGCATTAATCTTATTTGATAACATGTGTTATGGCTATGAAATCGATGTTTAAAAATCAGGTATTTTACGAATTTACGTTGCACCCTTTAAATTCAGGTGTAAGTAGGTGTAAGTAGGTTGCCAAATAACAGAACAGTAATATTTGGATGTGGTTAAAACTGCATTGACGGTGGATGTGTCAATCGAATGTGTTTTATTCTCAATCATAGCAGTATCTTGTTTTAAATTGAGTTTTTGTTGACATTTGGAAACTCTTCCAAATTTATTGATTTGTTTCGATCATTAAGTTCAGCCAGTAAGACTATGAATATCTGCATCAAGTGATGATTGTAGACAAGAAACAAAAATAAGACATTTAAATTGATTTTCGTCGAGTGCTTTTAGATTGAAATTTTCACAATATATGTTGACAATTCCGGCATATGTAACGAAATCATCAGATGGATTTTTTTGTTAACTGAAGACATTTAAATCTCAGATGGAAAAGTGACATAGTTCGTCCAAAAATTGTTTTCAATTTATTGTTTCAATAAAATTAAATTATATGTTTTATTTCCACTAACAACATAAAATTACTAATAGAGTGTTCAACATTTAATTCCAAAACATGACTGGCAATGAATTAAATAAAATCAAGTATGACAAAACTAAAAAAATATGTACAGCGTGTTTCAACATTACTATTATTTAATAGTAATAATCCACAAAAGGATTTTTTTAATTAGACCCTTTATGTATGGTTACTATTTAATGGTCATAATCCACAAAAGATTTTTAAATTAGACCCTTTTTGCATGATTACTATTTAATGGTTATAATCCACAAAAGGGTTTTAAATTAGACCATTTGTACAATATTCTATTCAATGGTAATAATCTACAAAAGGATTTTAGACCTTTTTTGCTTAATTCGTATTTAATGGTTATAATCCACAATAGAGTTTTAAACTAGACTATTTTCACAAAACACTATTCAATGGTTCCACAAAGAGTTTTAAATTAGACCCTTTCAGCATGATTACTATTTAATGGTTATAACCCACAAAAAGTTTTTAAGTTAGACACTTTTTGCATAATTACTATTTAATAGTTACAATTCACAAAAGGTTTTTAAATTAACCCCTTTTCTAACTACAATCACTATCAATTTCTGAAATAATAAAAAACAGAATTCCCCATTGTAAAACGTATACAGTACGAGTGAAAAGTAAGGAATAAATTCAATAAAAGAATCGATTTTTGGAAAAATCAAAAAAATGGTCAATTATTTAAACAGATCACACTCTATAACAGAATATTATGTCAAAGTGTGGAAATTAAAAACAAAATTGACCTGTTTTTGAAATTTTTCAAATATGTGTCTAGTATATTTTTAGGCGTTGGTTGGTTAGTTTTAGGATTAACATTATTTTTGATGATTCCTAATACAATTATTGTAAATTGTCAGCGAGGATTATAATAATCAAATAAATAAATTGTACAGGTTCATAGGGCATAAAAAGGTTCACAATCTCCTATGGATGTCCATACAAGATTGTGAAGGTCCAAACAGCAAATAAACAATAAATAAACTAAGAGGCTTTCAGTGGTCATTTATTTGTATAACAGATTTTATCTGTAATATTTTAAATAATGATATGTACAACTCATCTGAGCTAATAAAAATATTACTAATGGATTTACCAAAAAATTATCAAATACCTGCAATAATAAACGTTCATCTGCCCATATAGCAGCTTTGTCCCAGTCGATGACTTGAGAAAATGGCAATGCCCAGCTGTTTGAGAGCAAGACAGGTATGCATCCAGCTTGAAGAGCTTCTAAAAATCTAAAGGATCCCAATCTTCTACCTCGAGGGACCAAGCAAAAAGTTGAATTTTGCAATAAAGTTTCATAATCATATCTAGAAACAGTTTTATAGTCAAATTGCATCTAATATTTATGAATAAACTACTTACTTATCATACTCTTTGTTGTCTTCATCACACCTTTCATCTTTCATATCTTTCCAACTTTTCCCATGTCTGCAGGTAGTAACCATGATAATATCTTTCCTATTATGTAAATGATATAAAGAATTTCTTGTATCTGACCCAATGCCATGTACATATCTTTTGCCTTTGAAAGCCAAGAGGTAAGTCTTTTCTAAGGGGTAATTATAAGCAGAAGAAGCTCCAGGTTCACCCCCTTTGGCTGGGTGGATCTTATGAAATAAAGGTATGCTTATATCAAAGCCGGCACGTACGTGGTTTTCAGACATACTAGCTTTAGCTAAAATGGCTTTTCCATAATCAAAATCTAAATCATTTTCAGTGTAATTTGGCCATGTTCCTGAATATAAATTAAAGATGACATGATTGAGACCACTGTTCCAATGAGGTAAACGCTGTAGTTTATTTTGCATGTTGCGAATGTAGTCATTGCTCAAGCGATCTCTGTCTAATGTATCAATACTAAGTATAAAAATGCAAGCTTCTCTGGGATCGGCAGTATAATATCTAGATTCTAACAGGACATTGAGCAGTTTTAGATAGGACGGACTAGGCACACTGCTGTCCTCCTGAGGATACACATACACTTTAAAATCTCTTTCACATTTGCTAAAATCAAAGCAGGTCTCCATTCTACAGTTTTTGGAATTGTCTGGATATCTTCCTCTGACAAGGTATCCAGTGTCTATCACATTCATACTAATAAAATTGGGAAGGTCTTCTATGTTTAGGTGTAACTCTTGGTCTCGCCGTAGATGATAACCCCCGAAATACCAAAAAGTTAAAAAGGCAACAACGAAAACCAACAAATACCTGCGCTTTGCTTGCATGATTCTTTGGTTTCCTCGTATTTTAATGATTTTAAAAACTATACAACATATATATGTAACTTGTATTGCTCTCGGGTTCGAATTTCTCTATGTATACAAAAATCTTATATTACATAAATGCAAGATCTTACCTATCATGCTTGGTAAATAAAGCGTTAACCTGATTTTGAATTAAATAAACAAGAACTGATTTTGAGTTTGTCAATCTCAATTATTCCGAAACTGAAAGTTACATGTTTTAATACTTTTAATACATAATTTTATACTTTAGTGCCAAATTACTACCCAAAAACTTGAGAAATAAAAAACATGAATGAATTTATTTTGACATTGATAAGACAGATGACAGATCAGACGAGTGACAAGTGAAGATTTAACACTTATGCGTAAAGCTTAATTTATAACCGCCGTAACGTAACTTAAGAACTTAACGTAAGAAGTTGAAATATTGCATTTACGTATACTTATTTATAATGTTCGTAACGTAACTTAAGAACTTAACGTACCGTAAAAAGTTCACCAACTTTTAACTTAACAACTTAACTTAACTTAAGACCTTACGGTTAGCCAATGAGATAATTCTGAGTTCAGCATGTGATAACTGTCAATTATTCTTTTTATTTATTTTTTTTATAAATGAATAGACAAATACCATTTGTAAACTATCATTCTCCTTTTTGATGGACATACATTATCATGAATGATTTGTGTTTATGTTATTGGGGATAAACTATTTATGAAATATGAGTCTTGCTGCATATACCTATAAACATCAAGCCTAGAACTGAAATAAGACACAAAACTAGTTTGCTAGGAAAGATTAAATTCTCATTATTGCTCAAAAACAATCAACATCTTCGGTTAACTATTCTGTTGTATTATATTTTTATATTATTGCTTTTAAAGTAGTTAATATATTCTTTCTATATAGCAAAATCATAATTTATAAGTTTTATTTAGAGGTTAGGTACATTGTTTACACTTGTTTATTTCATAAGGTTGTCAGTAATTTGATAATCTCACGCATGATCAACTCTTACGTTACGGACATTTATAAATAGACTTTATTTTTATATCTTAGGTTAAATTTCTAAGGCGTTAAGTTAAATTACGTTACGGTGGTTATAAATTATACTTAAGGTAGATACAGATGCGAGTTAGGATGGAACGAGCTTAAACGTGACTTAAACCCAGGTCCAGCTGAACTCGGCAAATGGTTGAACGGTTGAACCCTGTTGTGGTTTCAATTAGGCATTCCAAACAAAATGATTGCCCGTAGGAAATGACCGGCCACTGACAGGCACATGATAGATTATGATATGGCAACACTGCGGGCCTGGTGCTTTGACAGGGTCAATGATATATATTTATATAGATTGATCATCCATGTTTTTAAAAATAAACATAAGCTTATGCCTTGAAGTAAAAATATAGGTAATTATTTTTTTTTTAATATTCAAAGGCTGGAAATTGGAATTAAAACACTTTTTTGCTAAGCTGATTCAAATTAATTAACACTTGCCACGCAATATTGCCGTTCAAAACGACCCGCTTTGAGCAATCTATATAACTATATATGTATCATTGACCCTGTCAATGACAACAGGCCCACAGGGTTGCCATATCTGAACTGTCAGTTTTCACTGGCATTATTTTGACAGGTCGTTGGAATATCCAAGGGCCGATTTCACCATTGTGTTAATCGAAGTTTAAATTACTAAACGAGGATTAAAATGACATTTGTTAATGTAAAAACGTCATTTTAATCTTCGTTTAGTAATTTAAACTTCGTTTAACACAACGGTGGAATCGGACCTTAGGAGTTGAACTTGCCCAATAAAACAGAATTGTTAGGTTTATTTTTAATTCGTGTGACAACATTACAAATAATGTAT